TACTTTTTTCTCTCTCTTTCTCTTTCTTTCTTTCTTTCTTTCTCCACCCCCCCCCCTCTATCTCTCTCTCTCTCTCTCTCTCTCTCTCTCTCTCTCTCTCTCCTCTCTCTCTCTCTTTCTCTCTCTCTCTCTCTCTCTCTCTCTCTCTCTCTCTCTCTCTCTCTCTCTCTCTCTCACTCTCACTCTCACTCTCACTCTCACTCTCACTCTCTCTCTCTCTCTTTCTCTCCTTCTCTCTTTCTCCCTTTCTCTCCTTCTCTCTTTCTCCCTTTCTCTCTCTCTTTCTCCCTTTCTCTCTCTCTTTCTCCCTTTCTCTCTCTCTTTCTCCCTTTCTCTCTCTCTTTCTGCCCTCTCCTTCTCCCTCTCCCTTACCCCTACCCGCCCGCCCTCTCTCTCTCTCTCTCTCTCTCGCTCCCTCTCCCTGTAATAATAAGTGGAGGATGTGTCCCACTTGCTTGTACTGCCGTTTGTTCTTGAGGCGAAAGTTGTCACGGCTTCGAACGCTTTATTTGAACGGGAATTTGGTAGGTGGTGTACAGAGGACAGGCGTGGCAGAGACGCCCAAGGAGGAGCGAGGCCTGCCACGCCCGCGAGGCGAAGCGATCTGAGAGAGAGCTTGAGGTGTTTCCCGAGTCGATGCTGAGGGCAGAGTGAGTTCGGCTCTCTGAGTCTTTGAGGGGTTCACAAAATATTCACTAAACACAAGAATATGGCAACATTGTTCTTTCGTGGGAAATGTCAGTACAGACTCTCTGTTTTATAGCAGTGTAGGGTCCTGTGGTCACAGGTCTGGTCGGGGGCACTGGATATGTCAATGTAATTAAATCCTGAACATTAGATAACTACAATATCGTCAATAATAATGATTACAAATATAGTGATTGAGAATAAGGATTTTTTAACAAACATTTTGAGTATAATCAAGATATAAGTTCACTTGTAGTTATAAAGTGATCGACGGTAAGGGTCGGAACCGCCTGCTCTGGGGGCACTTTGCCGTTGTCGTTACGTTCTGGGCGCAGGGCAAACTGGGCACAGGCCTCTCCCTCTCCCTTGACACATGAGAAGTTGACTGAAGGAGATATGCACTCAACTTCCTGTTCTCGTCTTTTACAACTTCAAGAAAACTTCCTCTGTTTTGTTGACGACTCGGGAGAATAAATCCAATAAATAAAGAGAATGAATAAATAAATGGCGAGAATTATTTAACTAATAAATGAAAAGAATAAGTGAATGAATGAACATTTTCGGTTGCAACTGCACAAACTCACGCGGGGGGGAGGGGGAAGCATCGTTGCAATCGTGTTTTATTGCAATCTGGGGATCCGAGGACTGGCCTTTGTAAGTGGTCAAATTGGGTAAAGAAATCGAGGTTATCAGTAAAATACATATCAAAATATCTTGTTACTGTGTGTGTGTGTGTGTGTGTGTGTGTGTGTGTGTGTGTGTGTGTGTGTGTGTGTGTGTGTGTGTGTGTGTGTGTGTGTGTGTGTGTGTGTGTGTGTGTGTGCGCGCGCGTCTGAGTTTATTAAGTGTGTGTCCTCGCGCGTGTGTTTGTGTGCGTAAGTGAACGCATGTTATGTGTGTCCTTAAATATTGGTGCATCATTATCTAAGCTAACTAGAGTCAAGTTAACCTGTGCCACCTTCTGGATATCAGCCTTAATAGTAATAGTAATAACGGTATTAGAAATAATAATTTGATAATGGTAATAGTAAGAAGTAATAGTAGTTCTTTTAACAACCAGGTCTTCCTTACTTATAATTTTACTGTCATCCACTCTTCACTTCACTATATTCGTATTTGAAGTCATTACTAAAGTCATCCTTTATGTCGATATTTCAGTCGACATTATCACCGTGTAAATAATAACTGTATATCGGCTGAAGAATAACTCATATAAGCTCATGGAATATTATCAGAAAAAAAAAAAAAAAAAAAAAAAATATATATATATATATATATATATATATATATATATATATATATATATATATATATAAAATATATATATATAATATATATATATAATATATATATATATATATATATATATATATATATATATATAGAGAGAGAGAGAGAGAGAGAGAGAGAGAGAGAGAGAGAGAGAGAGAGAGAGAGAGAGAGAGAGAGAGAGAGAGAAAACATGTTCCCTTTCTCACCTGCATAATGGAGTAGGCCCTTCACAGACATCTTGAAGACACGAATTTTCAACAAACAATATTGCAGATTATCACTTCGCGTTGCTCAAAACAAGAAAACCGTAGTCATATACTTGAAAAAAATAATATTTCGGAAACAATACGCGTTGAAGACTAAGATCTCAGTGTCAATCGCTTCCCACGCGCGCCCGCACACACAAGCGCTAAGAAAGGCACACACAAACACCCATAAAAGCTCCGGAGGTTTACAGAAAGGACCTCTACCCGCAACGGCAGAAAGCCAGCCACTGCTACGTGAGGAAGTTTATCTGTGAAATATAGTGAGTGGTTATCCCATCAAGTCTATCCCCACTGTTATGTTTTGGGGAGGACGTTTCCTCACTCCGACGGCACTGGCTTGGTTCTTGAGGTGTTGGAGTCGAAGTTGTCTATAGATTCTATATTTTTTTTACTGCGGGAGTATGATGGCTGGAGTACAGAGGACAGGCGA